TGGCGCTTCCTACGTTTGCTGCCTGCTGAGAAAGCTGCCCCAGCTCTGTGCTGTTACCGGCTCTGTGCCGTCACAGGTATGAGCTGCCAGGTATAGCCGTCTTGTTCATCCATCTAAAAGCATGGGCAGAACAAATGTGCAACTATCAGTACCTGTTTCTGTACGTGCAAGCTCTGCAGGTTGTATTTCTTCAAATAAAATAACCTCCAAGGGGTGATGACTTGTATAGCATCCCCCAACTAGCACGTAGCTGTTGTCATGTTATCTGCCGTGCGGTCTGCTTTAGTGTTTTGTATAGTGTGTGCTTTGCTGCACAGTTGTTCTGAGAACTTCTATCCCAAGTTCTGGTTTTTTATTCATCTTTCTAATGTGTTTCCCTAGTACCTGCTTTCACAGTGGATGTAAAAGCCATCACTTCCCCTTGACCTTTATGGCTAAGTCCTTTTAGCTAAAGAGTACACCGCAAGTGGGTTGATTATCGATGGAAGAATTCACAAATTCATTCCAGTTTCCTGACGTTCATTCAGCTAGCAGAAAATAAGGATTCTTTAAGGATCTAAAATTTCTACAGTCATTAATGTTACAAAGGCATTGCCTAAAGCACCTAAGGGGCGTAGCAGGTTTTCGTAGAAGGCACACCTTCAGGATCTTGAAAACTGCACTCTTTCAGAGAGTCATTTGGCTTCCTGATAGCCAATAATTTGTTCCTTACTGCTTTTTTGAAAGGGCCTTTTGAATAGGTGTCCTCTTGGAGATGCTTTCTGCATCACCTACGAAAGCTTCTGTTTGAACTCTTACAAGCATTCGCAACAAGAAAACTTGGTGTTGCCTTTGTACCGTGATGATTACAAGCAAAAGCAACTTCTTGTTGAATATCTAACACGGAGAAATACAGCTTATGCTCAAGCAGGCAGAGGGTTTAGTAACTTCGGATACTTTGCTGACAAGTAGAAGGGAGGAGAGGTTAGTCTTCTGTTGGGCTGTGGGGATGCAGCATGAAACTCGGACCTCAAACTGACGTTTAGGTTGTGTAATAGGAAAGGGAGCGTTCGAGTGGTCTGGAGTCGTATCCCGCTTAGCGAAGACGGAAACATCTGTTTCTGTGCTGAATCACTTTGATGCAGGTTCTTGGCTTAAAGCTACTTACAACCCCTTCAGGAGGTCTGCGTGCCTTCCATCATGCACGCTAGGGCTGTTTTCCTTTACTTCATTTTATCTGTTTGCTAGTCGGATGCTAGGAAAATTAATGCTGTCAGTAAAGGTTTGTTGCTTTCTTCCATTGAGTAGTAGGGAGATTAAATTAGTGAGAGCTGAGTTTAAATCCTTGTGGAAGAACTTTATTTTTAGAAGCGAGATTGGGGGAGGAAAATAGATTGGGGGCGGTGAGGGTTTAGTGAGTATTTTCATATATTTTGTTTGCAGTTGAGTTCTGTCTTGAATTGTTAAGAGTACTGATTAGTACACTCCTGTCTGGTAATGTTCCCAGCTTAGTAAGCAACATACTTCTTAAAAGCAAGTGATTCCCCTCCCTAGTGGGAAATGTTAGTAATAACTCATGGGGTCTGATGCAGCTAAGTGCCTATAATTAACAGCACCACTCCATCTGTTCCCACCAGTCTGTTATTAGTCTTCTTCAGAGTCGTTACAAGTTAAAGATTGTTATAACGAATAATGGGACTCCTGCTGATGGAACATTTGTCTAGGAAAAGAGGTCTTTGCTTTTCTTTTCCATACTTTCTCTCTTTATTTATCATGACTTCCTGGCTTCTGTTTGGAGAAGTCTGCTTAAATGTGACACAGGCTTCCAAAAGTCCGTTCGTACTCTGGCTTGCTCCTGTCAAAGCCTCTTCAAATAAGTTGAAAGAAGAGAGTTTCATGTAGTTCAGTGTTCTAAACCGTTCACTCAAAGGAAATTCATGTTCAAGAACTTCAGTGAATTATTTGGAAAAAAACAAAGCTCTCTTCAGCAGTTACTGAAGTGCTGACTATGCATACAAGCGAATATTTAATTTTTTTTCTTACCAAGTAAGCTGCATTTGACTATTCTTAAAGCTGTAGCCTGTGTAATCATTCCAATTCTTAAAAGATGTTGCATACTTGGAAAAACGTGTTTCATTAAAGTCTGTATTTATCAGATTAACCCTTCCATTACAGTAGGCTTTCATGCTGTGTTTCTCTAAAAAGCAATCTCCTCCTTCTGCCTGAATCTTTATGTATAATTCTGTGGTGCTGCAGCTTATGTGTCTATGCATGGAGATATAGCATCCTTCAGTGTCAATAAAGAGGTAATGAGGAGTTTTCCAGCAGAACTTGAGCTAAGCATGAGGCCTCCAAATTTTAGAGACACTTCCATTTTGAGGGTTCCCTTTTGTCTTGTGCTAGAAGCTTAGGATGAAAGGATATCACCACTCTGCGATGTTAGATCTTTACAGCAGAAAAATTTCACCTAACTGGTTGCTAGTTCCATATTTTCCATATGTGGTGCAGTGTCAGCAATATATCCACTTTCAGAGCAGCGTAGAATTCAACAGAGACACCATTGTCACTGTGCTCCTTGCCCTTGGCCATATCTTTCATTGCTTTCATTATTTTATTGCCTTCATTATTTCTGGGACTGTAATAGGGGCACAAAGTAGCATGTCATTATCCTTCGGCGAGTAGGCCGAGACAAAGGTTCGGGTATTACTGTATTTCCCCTCTGCTTCTTATAGATCATAGAAGAACAGTGTAAGTAAAGCCAGCAGAAATCCTTAATAGCTTCTCAGCTTTGTTTTTTCATAAACTCTGAATATCATCTGCTAAAGCAGGGGAAGAAAAACGATCTCGGTGACAATATGCGTTGAAGCAAGCTTGTACCAGTTTTTGCAGCCAAGTACCTGGCAGAACTCTTGAGTGTCTGATCGCCCCAGGTAAGGGAAAACTGATGCAGGAAGAAGCAGCCTCACTGGTTCAGCTCTGATCACTTACAAGAAGGCAAAAAATCGTGCCTTTCCTATATGGACTCGAGACAACAGGGAGATGACTGGAAGGGCCAGCAGATTGCAAGACTGATGTTACATGGCAAAAAAAATCTTTCCAAATTTCTTGGTGCAACATACCCGTCCTTGTTTGGGCTATTAGACAAGAGAAGGGCAAAGCCAGTTTGTGAGCTGACTGCTTCTAAGGCTGAGCCGTCTCTTCCACGCATAAATATGTTTTAGAGAAGAATCTGACGCTTAGTAAAGCCTTTCCTTCCTTAAAACAACTTAAAACTTTTGGTCAGTGGAATTCCACATTCGTTTTGCAGTTGGAGACTTATTTTAACTGCATCCTTCTACAGAAGGACCCACAGTTCTGTCAGAGTTGGTAGAAATATCTTGGGGTGGTGGAGGGGATCTTCTTGTTGTATTGGCTGTACAGCAGAGGGGAATGTGTCACATCTGTAGTGTTGAACTCTTGCACTCCCACTGTCGCTGCACCTCCTGGAGAGGAGGGGAGAGACTGCTTCCCTTTAAAGCCAGCAGAGCTCTAGACCATGAAGCTCCTGGGATTTGCAGAGCGGAAAATGGGGGAGAGGATGGCTGCGACGTGATTTTTGCCTTGCTCTGCAGAGCTGAGTAGGATGGACTGAAATAGGAGGAAAAGGAGACCATGTTGCCAGGACCTGGTTCTCTCTGTTCTGTGTAGTCCAGAAGTTAGTTCGTTCTTAGAGTTCTTTTGTTTTAACTCATTTTTGGTTTGAAGAAAACCTCATGTTTAGGAAGCTTGTTGTAGAGGAAAAGATGGGGAATGTGATCTCATTAGTTTAAAGGCATGCAACAGGATCAAGAATGAGGATGATCACTTCTCATGAAGGTTAACCTAACCGTTGCACCTTAGGAATGGCTACCTCCAGTCATTTTGATGATCAGTCAGGAGAATAGCTATAGGCAATAGTGGTTTAAGAACTACTTCCTTACTGAAAAGATACTTTGTTATTAAAGCAAAGTAATGATTTTCATATTGCACACTGCTAGCTTCTGGCAATCAGTGTTGAAGGGCTTCCTAAGCATCTGGTCTGTCATGTTTGATAACCATCACCTGAATTCCCTTGTCAATTCCCTTTCTAAGGAGATTCACCTTAGTCTCTGCAGCACCCTGTGGCAGTTCCCTGTGTTGGAAAAATAGACCGTTTTTGTCTCACGAAATGAGATCTTTACCTCATTTCACAAAAATCTGATTTTGGAGTTACTTTATAAGCATATGAGAGAGTAAAACAGCCTGCAAAAAAGTATAAAAAACCTTTTGTTCTTAAAGAGACCAGTAGTACTCTTGATGAAAGCGGTCTGAAGCTAGTCTTGCCAAATTCCTCTAAGGCTTTCTCTCAGACCAGTTTTCCTTCTTTTCTAGGAAAATAATCTCATTGGGCTTTATTCAGTCTGCATAAACCCAGTGCAGAGTGAATCAAGGAAGTTTGTTTCGGTTACATCCTCCTTGGATGTGTAGTGTTTTATCTTCTTTGCTGC